CAGGTCCTTGCAGTTCAGTTACATCTAACATCTCACTTTACAAACCATTTAGTCCAGTTGATGTACTACAATCTCCAAGAGGATGAATGTTCTAGCCACGTGGATTCTTTGATGAATAACAGTAATGTTGCAGGAATAAAGATGAACAAAAGGCTGGTGGGAATTCTCTCCTTCCCGAGAGTTAAAGTTCCCAGTTGCTGACTCTTGGGAAAGATTCTTTGCATTGAGGACTCGGGAGGGAGCTCTGCACTTGTTTACACAGTCAACTGGTGTTCGTCCTGTGATTACAAAATTATGGTGTCAGATACTAGAAGCTGGTTGTGATTTAAAGTTAAGAATAACAGCTAACTCACTTTTTCCCCTCTGGGTCTGCACAGCAAAAGAAAAAGTTTGTGATTTGGGAAGGCAGCCAAAACATTGTGGGAACAAGAGGTGTAAGGTGAGCTCAGTGACCTACTGGGTCCCAGCCTTCCCTTTGGCTTTCTCACTTTCTGTGCTTGCAGCGCACCTCCAGACAAAAGCATCATTATTGCTCTTGGATTCTTCACTGGTGAGTTCCTGGTAGTGAAACAGCGCAGAATAAATTAGCCGCTTTATGGTCTGTGATGGAGAGAGTTGAATGGATCAATGACGAGTAAGCCAGGATCTGGGGTTTCCACTCACTCAGTCTGACGGGAAATGTTACACCGCAATGTTTCCAATGGCGGTGGCACAGAGAGCAGCGTCTTTGTGGTGGCAGGCATTATTACTGTACGTCGCTGCAGGTGAAAGGTCAAGACTGAGAGTGTAAAAGATGTACTGGAGCTTGCCAGTGTGTTAATCTGTGTGTTGGCCAGAGGCCCAGGCAGAGAGGAGAGCAGGACTCAAACAGTTTTGTGTTACCCATAACAGGCTCTTCTCACACCATCGAGCATGTGCTTGTGTCTTAGTCGTGTGGAATCCAACCGTGACCTGGAGTTTAGATACACTCCCGCAGTTTCTCAGGGTATAGAAAATACATCACAATGCACACACAGGACACGTTCTTGACATGACAAATTTTCTCATTTTTTTCCATTAACTGCAAGAACGTATACTTCAGTCAGCTATAGGCCTTGGACTGACTAATTGTTTGTGCTTTTATTGGCAGAAAATGTATTATGAAAACCATTATACACTGGGAGCATGAGATACCGTGACACATGCCATCGACTGTGTTGTGTTTCTCCAAAGACACAGAGAGCAAAGCAAGGTGAGTAAAGGTCAGAGAGGCTCACAGAGGAGCTGAAACACATTCATCCAAATCTCAGTGATGTTCAGCATGTTAAGCAAGCTGATTGGTTGATTCAGCTGCTGTCAGGTGGGTCTGAAACTGACACAAAAACCAAAGTAAGTGAAAAAAATCCAACTATTCAAACAACACACAAGTATGTTTGCCAAGCAGCAGCCTGGAGAAGCATAGCTCTGAGTTTAAAGTATAGATATCTTAATTCTGTTTATGGTAAATTACACTACTTCTTTAAATTAATGCTGAAAGTGAGATGAAGGTCTGTCAAGCAGGTAAACTAGAGAAAAATGTACATAAGAAAGGCACACAAAAAAATCTCAACAGTAATTCTGGGCCAATAAAATGGTAAAAGTAACAGAACTAACCTCACTGAAAAGAATATAGCAGCACAAAATTGAGACATGGGGAAACATATAAAGTGGCTGATTCAAACACAGACGAGGACAGACTAAAACAAAATAACATTTAAACAAAGTACAATAACCACAAAACATGCCACTATAATGCTACCTAATGTTAACCAAGGACAAATAATTAAACATCAGTAATAAAACACAGTCCCCATTATGACAAACATGGTGCTGTCCAATCTGCAGCAGCTCGACCTCCTATTGTTTGCCAGCCAGACAACTCCAGTAGCAACCCCATGGAACTGGTAACTCAAAAAAACCTTCACTTAACGTGTGCACTCCAAACAGCAAACCTGTTAAATCTGCAGATTAGACTCAGTATGTTTTATGAAACCAAAATCTGTGTGTCCAGATTTGCCTTCATACTTCAAACGTGGGAGAATACCAGACTATTATTTTAACACACTTATCTTTACTTTATTTTCTTCACTTTTCATGCTTGTTTGATTATCTTGCTGTTGCAACACTGTTAATTTCCCAATCTTGGGACAATAAAGGAATTCTGATTCTGATTCTGATATCTTATCTTCTTTAGTGAACTTTCAATCGTTGTAATAATTTGTTGTGGCTCCTGTACATGCATCCTGTCTTCTCAAAGTGCCTCTAACCTTTAATGTGTAATTGTATTAAATGTCAACTGTATTACATGAATCATGAACCCTGAGTGATAAAAAATTCATTGATTTCTCTCCGAACTCCCTCTGTGTGCTTTGACTGAACTGGCCTCTTGTCTCAGAAAGCATGATTTGTTGGTTTTTCCCTGTCACCTAAAGAGCACAGGGCGATTTAAGTCTTGTCGGGAAACAAGCTCAGTGGCTGCATTACAGCCAGTTGGCTAAAAATACCCGTAAAATATCACTCACCCGTAGCCAGCCAGACAACAAAGGTCTGAAGGATAACTAAGAGGTGATATAAGCAGAGCCGTGATTGTGAGCTCTTACATCATCGTCATCCATTCATGGCGTCTGTGCTGCAAAGCTCGGCTGCCTTGACAGACTGACTGACTCTAAGTTCAGCAGCTCTAAGTGTGATTGATGGAAACAGTTAAATATGACACAAAAATGTTCTCCCACTTCTATTACTGAGTCTGATCTAAATCTACAGGTGAGCCTGCATCCTCCCTGTGTCCTGCACATTACTGCTGGCACAGAGATTTCATCAGAGGCAGCTTGTAATGGAAAAATACTCCAGTGCCAGAAGAAAAACGTAGCAAGCTTTCTATCAACTATATCTGACCTTGGGCACAGCAAGAGCAAGACAATGAAAGATAAGGAAGTCTCCTATTCCCTGGTTCCCCAGTGTTTGTCCTTCTGCAGACAGACTCCTTTATCTTGTTCAGGTGTCTGGGTCAGACACAAGATCTTTCTGACCGCCTTTAAGCTACAGTTCAGAGCCATTAGTGTAACAGGACAGTGAGTAGAATTGGCAGCAAATTGAAGTCACAGATGTACTACAAACCTCAGACCAATAATTTCCTTTGAACTGCATCTCCCACTCTTTCATATGCACCAGGTATTTACATTGTTTCCCACCTCTGGTGTAAGTATTCAGATTTAAACTGTTGAGCAAGAAACACCAACACCCACTTTTCTGAGTATTCAAGAAACCGTCAAGTTTGTTGTACTTGTGAAATGTCTACATTTCGTTTTTTGGTGTGCCACAATACCACACATTTCATTATTTATGAGACGCTCCTCACATTAACACAGTTGACGGACTGATCCTGTGATATCTCCCTTGTAAAATGACAAGTAGCAAAAATGACCACTTTTATTCTTTTAGATTACCTTTCTCTTAATATTAGGACCTCAGTCTCATGATATTATGACTTTATTCACATATTATACTTATATATTAATGTCTTCTCTAAATCTCAGAATTCTTCAACATGGCCCCAATACTGTGTTGTACTTTGCTGAATAAGCTCAAGACCTTCAAACTAAACAGTTCCCATACTATGCAAACAGTGGACACAAAAAACGAATTTAACATGAGGAAACTTCCAACAGAACCTGACGCATGGTGAACAGTCATATCTGCCTTGACTGGGTGTGTGATGGAGTTACAAGGTTATGGAGTCTACATGAACAAATAGATGGTCTCTAATCAAGGACATTAAACTTTATCTCAAATATACAATGTCTGAAAAGTCCTGACCATTTTGCATCAAGGTCAAAACCTTCGCTTAAGGATAAACCGAGAATTCAAAGGCTTTATTCTTCTGTGTACACTCAATACTGGCGTACTTCAACTGAGAGTGGAAAAAGATTCAACAGCAAATATACAATGAAGTGCTAAATGGCCAACCATGCGGGTAATAGGGGCACTGATCAGTACTATTTCTCTGCTGTAAAATGCCTGGGGCCATGTTCACTCGCTCTCATTTCAAGGTTAAAGTATGAGGGGAACATTAGCGTGAACCATTTTGGCTTTGCATGGGAGAGAGTTGAGATAATACATTAACATGTGTCACTGTTACAACACTGCCACTGTGCAACGATCAGATCCGTAGCGATAGTAGCAGCAGTGAGAGAAGTTATTCCAGTTCAGCCGAGAGACAAACAGGCTTTCAAGTCAGAATGGACAACTGTGAGAAGAAGACGCCTGAACGGCAATTATGGGATTAATAAAGTGATGAAGTTTGGGATGATGCCATCCAAGTGGGTAATGAGAGGAGAAAGATGGCAGATCATAAAGGTTTTTATTTTTTTTCCCCCACGTGCATTTTTTTTACAAATGCACGTGGGAAATAAGATATACATGCAAACCACAAAACTCCATCATGTCATGGGGAAGACCAAACAGTGTCAGAAAGACAAATTCAGCTTAAACCTTAAAGACATGGAATAACGCTGAGATAAAAAGCTGATAAGAGATTAGTACAGGACAGGAAGAGGACATCAGTGTGATACCTAAATCTGTGGAGGACACAGGTCAGGTCATTCCCAACTGGTTTGACTTCTGACAGTGTAATACAAGTTGACAGTGTGATAAAAATAGAGCTCATAGAGACAGAAACATTTTTTTCTGGCATGTAACAACTGGACTCTGCACCAAAGTAGATTATCACTTGATCACAACAAACACCTAAACAGTTTTATTGCAGAGCAGTGACTTTTAAAATGAAAATAACAAACTCCACAACTGACCTAACAAAGTTATATATCGGATCATATTCAATGTAAAACACACAAACAAACAATGAAGTTCAAAACATTGTTTGCTTTTTTTTTGCTGAAGACTGAATTGTGTGTTTTTTAAAACCAGAAACAAAACACAGAGGTTGATGCTTTGGAATGAAATTTGGTTTTATTTTATGTTAGTATTCAAAAAAAACTCCCTCAAGCTCTCAGCTTTTAGAAGAGCTGAACTCTGTGGTCGAGCAAAATCCCGGAACTCTCTGCTCAAAAGCATCTGTGGATGTTTTACCTCTCAGACATGCACCACTCCTCCTGTTGGAGTCACAGAAGCTTGTGTGTTCGTAGCAGCACACCTGCACAAAAGGGAGAGGAATAAACGTGAGATAAATACCTCAGCAGGAGGAAGTGACAAGGTGTGCAGAGCAGATATGTAAATAGTAGACAGAGGCCGCTCTGTCAGACAGACGTTTGATTTTGTCACAGATTACATTCAAAATACAAGTGAAGTATTTTATCTTGGAGAAGCGATGACAGAAGGAAAATCACCTCTTTGCCAGTGACGTATATACCCTTATAAATTATTTGGTAAGTATTCTCTAGGTCCTCCCCAACTTTGATAATGAAACATTAACACTTTCAAAGAACTAAAAGTGAGAGCACAGAGTTTTACTTTGAAGAATTATTCCTTTGACCCTGGGGTTTTTAACCTGTTAGTATTGAACATTTATTCATTCTTTTTTTATAATTAATAAAATAAATGTGACTGATGTTTAATTTAATTTCATATATTTTATCTGATCTTGCATTGTGAAACTAGATTGTATTGTCTATTAATGGGTGATTGTCTACATATTCTGTGTTTTTATACTTTGACTGAAAAAATGTGTGTGTTGCAATGTGTGTCATATGTTACCAACAGCAACCGAGAATAACAAACCTCCGCCTCATTGAAGGAGGAACTTCAATACAACAGATCGGCTCTGTTTGGGAAGTAAAACAAGATGGGAGCAACAAGATCTGAAATAATGATTGTATGATAAATAGTTTTTTTCTTTATATATGTTTAGAGGAGGTTAAGAATCACTTTGTGATAACTGAGGATGAAAGAAGAGCCGTAGAGTTAAAGGTTGAGCTTTGAGGTTTGTGGTCAGAGTTGAATTCACGCCACAGAGGCAGATCCTGGAGCAGCTGGAAAAAGAAGTGAGTGTCTTAAAATGACAGCAAGTGAATTGTCTGATAGTGAGACAGTGGACATAGAAGTGAACAAGAGTCTCTGCCTCCTCATTATCTAGAGCTCTGACAATTTTCTCTTCACTCCCAAGGCAACAGTAAATAAACACTAGCCCTCCACAGAGTGTCCATCAGGTTTGTAATGTGACGAGCAGGGACCGATGTGTTATTTCCGTATGACATTCTCAAGCTGTCGCTGTTGCAGTCAGTGTAACTGTGCGAACTGGAATGCGGTGGTGAAACACATCACTGACCAGTGTCTGCCGGCGAGTTTGGTATGTGACACATGGATGAGCAGCATCGTCCCGTCCCTCCAGATCTCCCGTAATTCTGTTTGACACTCTGGTGAAATGAAAAAACTCATTGTCATAGGTGTCCACATGTAAACAGACTCTGCTGTGCCCCTCAGACACATTTCAGCACATGCAGAAGATCAGTGGTTTTTTTTTTTTCAGCTCATCTGTGTGTGTGAGAAGTGGAGCTGATTCATGCTCCCTCTTTTAGTTTCATCTACTGAGCAAAAGATCAAAACATGTGCTACTGCCTTCTTCTCCAAATCTAGGCGTTGTTGCTTTGTCTCACTTGTTAACTGAATACATTTGGGTTTTTGTAACAAGTTAGCTGAAGCGGCACAGTCCACCAGTCTGCTTCAGACTGGAATGTGTAACTTTGTTCACACATTCATGACTCCCAGACAATGACTCTGGTGACCTCCTTACACCACTTCAGTCCTCTTTAAATCCAGCTGAACTGTTTGTTTAATCTAATTTCTTAAAAAAGCCTCACTGACGTGAGATGATCATTGACACTTGGGATGCTTGAAGATATTGTGAAATTTGTTTTGCACAGAAAAATGACTTATCTCCACCAGTGGAACAGTGAGTGCATCAACACTTATGTCAGGCTGATCTCCAGAGCACCAGATATTTATGCAGGGTTTCGAAGGACATATAAACAACAAGCATTGTTTTCACATTAAGATTGACAGGTGTTTTTCCAGTGACTTGCTTTTATACTGACTAATGACATACAATAAATACTTTCACACAGGAAGTGAATCAAAACATCCAACTTTACTCACTTTACTCATTTTAACTACTTGAGAAACTTGACTGAAGATTATAAAGTAAACCTGATTTTTCCATTTTAAAACAGAAACTGTTTGTGTGGACTGAAAGGGAAATGAGAAAGGATTTACAAAGCCTACAGTGAGGGAAACCCTCACAGCGAGAGGTAAACTATTCCACAGCTGGGAGGCAAAAAATATTTATCTTCCTTGGATTTTAACTTGGACAAGAAAAAGGAGATTCTGACCAGTGACTAAGTAAGAAGGTCAGAAACAGTAACTGATGAACATGACTCAGTCTAAAAGGTCACACGGGAGCTAAGTTATTGTGATCTTGCTCTCTTGTCTCTTTTCTGTCAGTATGTATTTGGAGTTATTACATTTCGTTTGATATTTAACTAACAGCCTATATAGAGGAGCCCATGACTAAATACCTTTGTCTTATATTGGCAGGATGCCTCAGCTGTTGAACACTCATCTGTATCTTAACTTGCACTTTGTGTGCAATTATGCAGAGTGCATGTGTTTCCTGTTACAGAAGGAGACAAACAACAGCAATCACTAGGCTGAGACACACAGGCCTGACTCCCAGCAAGTGAAGTTAAGAGGTTAAGGAGTTATATTAAGTTTATCAATCCAACTGGAAATTCTTGTGCCAGTTTGCTCCAGATTAACTTAATGCTTTAAACACAATATATATTAGAGTGTGATACTGTAATAAAAATTAAAAAGGAAAGTAAAATAAAGCTAATTAAGTTGCATTAGACTGCAAAGTAATACTTAAGTGTCCATTAGTAGTAATTCTAATATGAGTAATAAGTATAATGGAATATTTGACTGTTGTTTCTCTGTGGTGTTGTAAGTTTGGACACCACGCCCTCTTGCGGTGGATGTTGGGCACGATGTGCTTCCGCCGATGCTGACGCAACATCCGGTTGTGCAGCAGCCATTTTGTCTGTTCGGGCCAGTCTCCCTGACGGTAACGAACTGCAGTTCCACCCTGGAAACAAATCGAAATGTTGTTGTGGTGTTTCACACTCACTCTACTTCCGGCCTGACGGGTTTATAAAATTCAAATCTCACCGCACATGAGCGGGAAAGGACTCACCTCTTCCAGAGAAACCCGGAACTGTGAGGGAGGCCGCGGCTCGGCGGAGACATGTCGTGTGAGGAGAGCTACTTGGCGATCATCCGCTACCTGACCGATGAACGGGAGCCGTACGCACCGGGGACGCCCGGCAACACCAAGAGAAAAATCCGGAAAGCCGCCGCCTGCTACGTGGTGAGGAGCGGGACGTTGTTTTACCAGCGGCGCCTGAAGGGCCAGGATGAATTCACGGAGCTGGAGGTGGTGCTGCAGGACGGCCGCAGGAGGGAACTTATCAAGCAGGCGCACATCATGGAGGGCGGCGAGCACCTGAACCAGCAGCTCACGTGGGAATACATCTCCCAGAAGTACTGGTGGAGAGGTGAGACACCGAGGCCCGCCTCGGGGGCCTGGTCCCCGGGAGGCGGTGGGATCAGGCGGGGAGCCGGTGTCAACACAAACCTGTGCACGACACATGTACTTTAGTCTGTTGTCTCCATCACACACATGTTCGATCTGGCTCCATCTAGTGGTTAGCTCAAGTGGTTTGTGTTTTACTATTTATTTGTTGTGGTTATTTGTAATGACGAAGCTGGTTGTGATGGATGGAAATCTGCAGGAAAGAATATTGAAACACACATGATTCAATTTAAAGTTACGTAAAAATTGATTCCTCTCCCTGAGAGTCAATAAGGTTATGATTTCTTCTTCTGTGGTTGTACTTAAATGATCTCTGTAGTTTGGACTGTCACTGTTGCAAATCTTCAGATAGACAGAGCCAACCTCTGCACATTTAAATCTACTAGATCTGGATTTTTATTTGGATCTGCCCCAAAGTGCACACGCTTAAAAATATCAGTCCCCTAAACATGACTGTTTTTTTTCATCAACATCCGTAAATGATTCCCTGTTGAAATGTTGAAAACGCAGTATCGCACAATGTTAAAGAAAGTGGCCCTGATCCACATCCACACCACAATTGAATGAGCTCTTCCCTGAGTCATCCCCAGTTCCTCCTCGAAATTGAATGCACATCAGTTTAGTAGTTTTTGCACAATCCTGCTATCAAATAAACAAACGATGAACAAACCATAACCTGCTCGGTAGAGGTAATACATTGATTACAACAAAATTAATATGAATATAGTGGACAGAATAAAAACCATTTGCCTCTTAAGACAGAAACATCATGGTTGGTTGTCTCAGTGAGTGAACTGTCCTCTTCATGACGTCCTCAGCAATCCTGAAGCATGTGAAAGACTACATCAGAGAGTGCACTCACTGTCAGAGCAAGCGGACTGCTGATGACAGCTCTGGACCCCGGCCATTTTCCCGATCAGTGAAACGACGGGCGGCTGCAAATGTGAATGATGAAGAAGAGGAGGATGAACTGGAAGAAGAGGGAGTTGAGGGTTTACTCTTCACGGACTCATCTTCTCATGTGAAGTGCAAGACGACGGCCAAGCATGAACTGGTCTTTGTAAGTCTGAGCTATGATTGTGTTAGCGCTGTCAGCATTGTGACTTTGATTCCTGTACAGATGAGTGTGTTAATAGAGTCTGTTGTGTGTGTGTTGTGTGTCTTCTCTCTCCAGGTGGACAGTAAGGGAGAGGTGAATCAGTTCCTGCCCAAACACAGCCAAACCATTTTGGACAAACTCAACCAGCAGCGTCTCAACAATCAGTTCTGTGACATCACGCTGCTGATTGAGGGAGAAGAGTACCGGGCGCACAAAGCCGTGTTAGCGGCGTGTAGCGAGTACTTCCACGAGCTGTTTTTTGAGAAGGGGGCAGTATCAACGCATGAAGCCGTGGTAGACCTCTCTGGTGAGCCCCAGTTTGTCCATCTCTGTATCTGAGTGTTCTGCGCCCTGGCTCTGTTTTAATCTTCACTCCTCTCTCTCCAGGTTTCAGCAAAGTTAGCTTCCTCCCACTGCTGGACTTTGCGTACACCTCCACGCTCACGTTTAATTTCTGCATCATGGCAGAAATCGCTAACCTCGCCAGGCATTTACTGATGACAGAGGTGTTGCTGATATGTGAGTCGGTGCACAAGCAGGTGGAGGAGCAGAAGCTGACGGTGTATCAAAGAGGAGACGTGCACACTGTGGTGTCGAGCCAGCCGGCTCCTCAGGAGGGTGTGAAGGACGAGTCTGATGCTTACATGGTGGCCATACAGGCTGACAACGGGGTGGTGGTCACCCAAGGTGCCGTTGCTGTAACGGCCGAGTCCCTGGCATTTGTTGCACCATCCAAAGAGGCGTACATCCAGCAGCCTATTGATGTTACTGACGCTGTAGAGGGAGACAGAGTGGATGGAGGGGAGGCTGGTGAGAATGAAATAGTGTCTCTGATCGCACACAGCGGGCAGGCTGAGCCAGGAGAGACTGTCACTCTGATCTCACGCAGTGCAGAAGAAATGGATGGGGAGACGATGACCGTGGTCACCCACAGCGGACAGGCCGGAGCCAGCGAGTCGCTCGCTGTGGTGTCGGCCTGCCTGGCAATGGAGCAGCCGCAAGTCGCTGAAGCAGGAGCCTTTGTCATAAACATGGAAACAGATAGCGTGAGCCCCACAGAGGTTGTCAAACTGGCATCTGCAGCCACTGCGGAAGTAGCAGCACCCCCGCAGGAGAAGGTGGAATCAGCACCTACACCCCAGAAACGCAAACGAGGGCGTCCGGCCAAAGTGAAGAAGGAGGTGGAGGAAGAGGTGACCATGCTACCAGAGGAGGAGGATCCTTCTACTGATGAAGGCCACATAGACAAGCAGGAGATGACGTCGGATGACCCAAGCAAAAGACGACTACGGCAGCGCTCTATGGCTGAGGGCGGTTATGCTCGTCTGCATATGGGGCTTGAGGATGAAGAGGAGGGAAAGAAGAGTTCTACCCCACCGCGTGCCATCACCCCGAAGGTACATTGCACATTTCCATCGTATATTTTGTTAAACGTGAGAAAATTGCTGAAATATCTAAACGTCTTTCTAGGTGGGTCCGAGGCCTGGGAAGAGGGGACGACCACCAAAGCATCCAGTAGAGACTCCAGCTGAAGGAGCGCCTGAGTCCGGGGCGGAACCAGAGACAGGCGCTGTGGAGAGCGTGGCAGCCGAAGAGGTCAGCACGGAGGAGGCTGTGACGATTGCGGCGGCAGAGGCCGAGACTGGAACAAGCCAAGATGAGCCTCCAACAGAGGGCGCTGTGGAAGGAGAGTACACATGCTCTGAGTGCGGCATGTCTTTCCAAAGACGCTACTCTCTCATCATGCACTCATTAAAACACGAGAAAGCTCTTGGATATAAGTGCAGCGTAAGTACAGGTGTTGGTCGTCACGGTGCATGTAATTGTTTACACAGCAGCTTCTCACCACGATGTTTGTGTGTCTGTGCAGCTGTGTAGTAAGGAGTTCCAGTACGCCGCCTCGCTCCGCGCCCACCTCGCCCGACACAAGCAGCAGAGGAGCCAGCGGGTGCCCATCACCAAACTCTTGGACAAACAGAGCGTTGGGGGGAAGGTGTGCGGCGATATGAATAACAAGACTTTATTGCCACACACCAAAAGAGAGTTTGTGTGCGACATCTGCGGGAAGACCTTACCGAAGCTGTACTCCCTGAGGATCCACATGCTGACTCACACGGGTGTGCGGCCTCACTCCTGCAGGATCTGTGGCAAGACGTTCGCCCACAAACACAGCCTGAAGATGCACCGGGCGCTGCACGACGTCACCAAACAGTTCCAGTGTGAATTCTGTAAGAAGTATTTCGTGAGCAAGAGGGGCATGGAGGAGCACACCAGTCTGCACACAGGTCCGTACACACTGGTTTAACTTCACTTACATTAAAGGGCCAGTTCACCCAAATGATAGAACAGCTGTACCAAGGCCTCTGAAAACTCTTGTGTCTGATTGGCTGAGGCCATGTTGCTGTTCGTGTACGTTAAGTACTTGAGACCTACAGATTACTCTGGAAAATACTCAACTGCTATTTTTGTGGTGCATATTTTGTGATTGACTGTAATGAGTGATCTGGAGGCAAAGAAACACCTGACCCTTAAGTGTCAGGTCACCAAACATATTTTCCCTTTCCTGTCTTGACATGCAGATGGTTTTAGTTCAATTTTCAGATTTCTCCTGCCAGCACCTCGGTACAGTGGAGGTTTGTTGTGCTGTCAGCATAATGAATGAAATGGAAATCTCTACAGATCATGTGCTTTCTGTTCGGTCTGAACCAAGATAACAGGTGTGAAAGGATCACGGTCCAGATCAACAGTCAACAGTCTGACTGAAAGATGTGGTCTCTGTCCGAAACAAACTGAAGCATGGTTCGGTTTGTTTGCTGTGAGAGAACGTTTTTTGGATAGTTCTGACTTTCTGACAAATTGAAGACAGAAGAAAAACAAGTGGAAACGTTACTGGTCTGTCCAGGCACTTGTTGTCCAGAATCACAGGTCATTTCCTGTGTTTGAACGATGAGGACTTTTAGGTGTAACCAGACATCATTTCCACAGTCAAGACTGAAAAGTTTTGATCAAGTGATGCAATATACACTGTATTATTATTTAAAGGTCCAGGCTTTAGCTGAATACCCCTCCCCAAAAGGTTTTAAGTTTTGTAAAGAAAAAGTATTTAAATATAAAGGGCCCATTCTGGGTTAAAGAAAAAACACAATTACTACAATTAAGCTGAAACACACTAGTGAAAACATCACTGGAATTATTTAAAACATTTTTTTGCCAATTGATCCCTTTCACCTAAATCTTAGGTCTCACCTAAACTGGACCTTTAGGTGAACTGACCCTTTAATTTTCTACAAATATCTCCAGTATCGCTGTAAATTCAACTACTAACGAGAGACCGTTTCCACCGTTTACCATGAAATATTGTCTGTAGGTGAATCAAAGTACCTGTGCAACACGTGTGGAGCAACTTTCTTTCGAGCCTCAGCTCTGAGCAAACACATGAAGAAGCACCAGCCCAAACCTGACGTCCGTCCAATCGCCTGCACTCAGTGAGTAGCTGTTCACCTTCACATCCACAGACCATACGATATAAATACATTTCACTGATTCCACTTCAATCCGTCCTGCAGCTGTGACAAGAGGTTCTATGAAGCGAAAGATCTTCAGCAGCACATGAATAAGCACATGGGCCTGAAGCCCTTCCAGTGCCAAGTGTGTGGGAAGTGCTACAGCTGGAAGAAGGACTGGTACTCCCACGTCAAGTCCCACAGCGTCGCCGAGCCCTACAAGTAAGTCTCAGAGGACTCACGGTCCATGTCCTGTTTGTGTGAACACGGTGCCCAGAACATTGCTGCATATTAAACACGTGTGTTTGCGTCCTCAGGTGTAACGTGTGTGGGAAGGAGTTCTTTGAGAAGGCTCTGTTCCGAAGACATGTCAAAAAGGCCACGCACGGGAAGAAGGGGCGAGTAAAGCAGAACCTGGAGAGGGAGTGTGAGCAGTGTGGAAGAAAGTTCACTCA